GGGTTTTCAAACTACAAACTGTGCATTTTCCCTGTAAGGAAAATCAGATCTGCATATGATGTTGGAAAGTCGTCATATAGAGCTCATAATATTTTGAAGTGGATATGGATTATGTTGCATACTTTGCAAACAGCATTAATAAGTGGATGGATACGATGTCTTATGGGTAGACATCTCACGGTCTTAAAGATCTCATAATTAGAAGCTTTTAAAAGACAGAAACAAGTCTTTTTCGAGGAAGAAAATTTTTGTGCATGTTTTCTATAAAATACACTCAAATGTGCAGTTACCTCGAAAATCGATGGGGAAAATTCAGCTTATTTAATTATCCATTTTAACAGCATAGTTTTTTCAAGCAGAAGGTAAGAAGATCATTTAAAAACCGGCATCCTGCAGTAACTGAAATATCTTGCAATCATATAACGCGATAGTCAGTTATACGACGCTGCTGAAGGGATCTTTTCTGATCAAAGATAAGTCTCAAAATTTCGGTTTTCATTCCTTGAGACAGCATATCTTCTGAATACGAACAACATACCCCAGGGTTAATAAGTCCTACGGTTTTATATCCCCATTCGCAAGAACACGAACCACACTGTCTGACGTTCATAGGCTCTAAGCCCTTCGAAGACCAGCAATTTCGAGAATCCAGTGCTTTTACGTTGGTGGTCACAGATACTCGGTCGTTACCCAGCTTAGGAAATTCCGCAAGTATGTACCCCCGTCATCTTAGAATTACTAGGATTTAAACATCGAAAGTATAGTAGACTGTTGGGCGAGCAACCTTCATGCTTTGAACTGACTGTCATTGTATTCGTTGAAAGCTTTTACCTGACGTCTCCTGTCTTCAGGTGATTTTTGCCGAAGGCAATAGCAAGACGTCAGAACGGTTTCCGGAATTTAGATGAACACGTAACAAAAAACAAGTAAGCAATTTTCATTCTCGTTTCTGGACATTCATGGGCCACTCACATAGTCATTTTAGCGAAAAGTTAGCTTCTGGACCTACCAAAGCAGACCTCACGTTGTACGGACTAAAACCTATTCAGGGAACGCGGATAAAAACAGGCCTTTTACGTCAAAAGAAAGTGGACTCGTTATAGATACAAATGTGGTTACTTTAAAAGTCTCATTGAGCAAAACATTATCTGTTCAATAAACAGTAGAGGAAAATGGTGTATCTGCCATGATTAAATACGGAACGAAGGAGAAAGGAAAACAGCCTGCAAAAAAAACAGCATTTTTAATGGCGTCTAGTGATTACGAAATAAAGTTTCGGAACACGTTTCGAAAGACGATGTCACCGACCAGGTATGTACTAAAGCGTACCATGCCAACGCAAGGTCGCACCTCACAGGTCAGAGCGTCTAAAGTTCGGGCTAAAAATAAAACGATTAATGCCGGAGAATGAGAGTCAACAACCGTTTCTGTGTTATTCATGACTTCTGGCCAGTTGCAGTAGGTGGGCTAACTTGTTAAATGTCAACTGAAATTCCGAAATGTGTTTCCGTTTCCAAAAGTTTAATTAAATTGGGTCGAAAAACTGATCATGCTGCAGCATAATTCTATGATAATACAGTTACCTCGGGATGCGGGCTTTTGAACGAACTACCTTTCAGCCGCGTGCAATAACGATACTCTGCGAAAAATAATAGCTTAAGTAGCATGTACTTTTCTAATTGATTTTCGATGCCCTAAAACAGTCAATTATGTTTCATGGAAAATACACATAAAAATTCATTCCTTGATTGACTTGGTAGAAAATCACGTCGGCTTTCAATTTTATGCTCGTGGGAAGGGTATAATTCGCTTTTGAAAAAGTTTCTTATTTTGAGATTTTTTTAATATCGTTACCTGTCCGTTCATAAAACATCGCGTCTCTGCATTTACTAATGTTGCTTGTAAAGTTTAAAATATGGTCCAAATCCACTGCTAAATTTTATGAACCCCATAAGTTCTACTCTTAGTACCGTAAATAAATGTATGGCTTGTAGTCTGGAAGCTATGAATAGAGGTGTAACGGCAGATCGGGTTCAGAATTATTCGGGAATTGGGAAAAACTTTGAAAACCGAATTATACCCTTCCCTCGAGTGTAAAATCAAAAATAGACGTAATTTTGTACACAAGCAATAAAGAAATGAATTTCTTTGCATGTTTTCCATGAAAAATAATTTAATTTTTAAATGCATTTGTGATCTCAATTTGAATGTTGTTTACTGAGTGCTTATCACTGCTTCATTCAAACTGTATCCTCGTAAGTCATTTGGGTCCCATGTCCCTAAACAGGCCACGCGGTAGATGCGCCGGGCCAGCACACGAGCTAGACCGGAGTCCGGCGGGCGTTATCGGAAATGCGCACCCATTACAAATGCCAACATTAAAGCTGTGACGGTACGCCAAAATGTAATCCCAAGCCGCGCCAGTTGGGATCCGAGATGCTCCCTGTTCTTGTCATGCAAAATCCTGACCATCGTACGCCGTGGAACAGGGGGTGGGTGGTTTGCCCAGGTGCGGGTTTTCTCCAAGCCAGCCACCTGCGTCCTCTCCCCCTCCGTTCGTCAAGAGTCTGTCTTAACACCCGGTACATGTGGAGGAGGAGGAGGAGGAGGAGGAGGAGGAGGAGCGGAGAGTGCACTAGATGCTACACAAGTCTACTGTCACTGTAAACTGACTCACGCGCAAGTCCCCGTCCCTGCTCTTGCCCCGCTGCGGAGCACGCGGTAGACATCTTCAGCAATTACGGTCGAATTGTGCATGTTATTTGAAGAAAAAAGATGAGTTCACCACAATGGGTTTATTTAGATGCTGAAGTTGAACTTGGTCAGCTATCTCATGTCAAAGCGTAAAATGCACTTAATCGACCAGAAATCCCATGTGGCATTTCACGTTGGTCGGTCTCATGCTGATCGATTTTCCTCTCCTCTCGCTGTCTCGGTGGGTGGTTGGTGGACCTTTTATCTGCGTGCTTCATGTATGCATGTATTTATGTAATGCTAATAATTTTACTAGATATCAATGGGAGAACTTAGATTTTGTTGTCTGAGACACGACTTCATCTACAGTCGGTACCGAAATTGCAATGAAAACTTCAACGAAGGACAATCAACAAACAGCGATCTCGTCGAGACATGTTTTTCACCGACGTTGCCGCCGCTGCCCGACGCAACTGTAGGGATATTTTCGAGGTCACTTAGGGAACAACTGTAAATGCCGAAGTCTTGCATTTTGGAGCTAGCACTGGTTGTAAAGGTCAAAATCGTGCGGATTAACAAATCAGATTCTTTAAGGAAGTTTCCGTCTTTCAGAATTCAATGTGGTTATCCACAACTAGCCTTGCCTAATATACGTGGGCAAAAATCCAAGTTAGAAGTTCGCGGTTGTTTTGGTAAGCCCTTCTTATTCACATTACTGCCCTTCACCATAGAAACGCACACAACTATACTGATGCGATCTAAGGTAACTACTGTGCTGACGTATGTCTTGTCTTGCCCGATTTACGTGAAGCCCAAATTCAAGCTTCACGTTGGCAAAGGTTGTTTTCATACTCTAATACACAAAAAGACGCAGATAATCAGATATGGTCCGCGGTAATTACAGGGA